CCCCCCCCCCCCCCCCCCCCCCACCTAGGGACGCACGAATGGCTGCTCTTCTTTGGTTGTCTCCCGGCCCTTTTCTGCCCAAGTAACTAGGTGGCGTTACGCATGCAGCCTCTCACCCCGAACCTTTCTTTCCCCTGAATTTCCCCGGCTTTTCCCCACCTTTTCCCCCGGAAAGCCCGCCCAAGAAGAAGGCAAAGATGGGCGTCCCATGTCCAACCTCGCGGCAGATTGCCCCGAGTCGTCCCAGGCCGGGACGAGCTTGTCGGCACTGCGACCTGGCCCTCCACCAAGCCACGTCAGTGCCACAGCGGTTGGCGCCTACAGTACGTGCTTCTCCCGCCGTCCCTCTGGATTGGCGCGGCTGAGCACGAGCCCAGCACGACGGATGACCGGCTCTTTCGTGACAGGGCCTTCAAGCTTGGGATATGTTTGTCCAGACGGGGGATGCTTTCGGGGCGTCGTCGCAAAAAGCCCATGGCCGAACCAAGGCAAAAGACGAGAGGCTTCGTTGGAGGGACCAACCTGAATTTGTGGTCGTTTGCCGTCGGCAGCCCCCCCCCCCCCCCCCCCCGGGGGAGTAATGAAAAGAAAACAAGCCTGCCTCGGCGATTTAGCGAGCGCCGCAACGCCTTTACCGGTGAGAGCCGGCATCAGTGGCGGCAAACAGGGCTGGCCTGGGGTTGAGCCGAGACGTGGTCGAGCTCCTCGCACATGTGGTCATCTTTCGAACGTGAACTCAACACAGAGCAGAGCTGTAGAAATAATTTGGCCGTGGCCCTTTGCCATCGGAATATACGCTGTGTCCCTGGAAGAACTGTCATGGTCCAATTCCCCATTGGCGAGGCCCCAAGGTTCGTGCATGCATCGGTTAATCGTGCGATTCCCCCCCCCCCCCGCAGAAGGTCTGTAGGATCACAAGGCAGGATTCCTTGCCCACTTCCCACTTCGCTCGAGAGTTCGAGCGAGCGACGGCGAGGGAGCGAGGACGAAAGAGGGGGTGTCCCTTTCACAGGCAACGTTGCCGCGGACAGGGATGCTGCATTGGAGCGGCTCGCCAGAGCGTATCGGCCGCCCCCAGATTTCTCCATCGTGGAGCACCGCTGCACTAAATGCTGACATCTTGATGCACGCTTGGCATCCGACCCAACTGCCCAAGGCCTCGAAGTACCCTGCCTTGCCTGCATACGACGGCCGACAATGCGACGATGCACACGAGAACGGGTCCCTGCTGCTGCATGCCCTCGGTACAGTCTCGTCGCAGCAATGGGCCCTTCATTGCAACGCGAGCATGCGAAACTCGCGAACGTGTTGCCTGGATGATGATTGTCTGGTCCCTTGGATACCAAGCATGGTGGGCTTTTCTTTTTGGCCAGATAAGCGCGAGAGATCAGATGGGGTCTTCCCCAGGTGGCGTGCGGCCTTGCATTCGAGTCAGCCGTGTTGCTGTGCATTAGCTGCCCAGACACGGCGGGTGAGCCCGCTGTGGAGAAGGGCGTCTCGAACCACGAACTGACGGCTTGGTGTTCGCTTGTTTCGAGATTTCGAGATTTTGAGATTTCGCATGAAATCATGGGAATGGATGGACAATTGGCAGCGTATGCGGTTTCTGGTGTTGATGATTCCGAGGAAGGAATCCGAGGATAGGATTACTTGTGTGGAGCAGGCTCTATGTGGAACTACGGCGTGTGGCGCCAGCCTCCAAGCCACATGTTCTCGAATCTGCCAAGCCTCGAGGAACTTCCAGACTACCGTACCCTGATATTCGTTCTTTGACTTGGTCCCATTGAACTGGGCAGCGCTGATTTCAAGCTAGTCCCGCTGCTCTCCAGCGCCCGCCAACGTCTCGACAGTTTTAGACGGCAAGGTGCCCCCCAAGAGCGCGTGGGTGAGCAGGGTGAAGAGGTCTTCTGCAGGCGATATCCGCAGTCAACTATTACGTTGGGGGTCAGAACACATCGGATTTCTGACCCTCCTTGCATGCGCACCTCGTGGCCCCAAGCCCCTGAGCTAGCCCCCTGCCCCGTGCTTCCACAGGTGCTTCCCGGCTTGGATCTCACTCGGGCACAGGGTTCTTGTCTTCTGCCTCTGTAACAAGCCCCTTCTCGTGTGTCATCGTTTTTTTAAACAATCAAGCAACCAGCGACATGTCAAACAAGAAATTGACACACAAGCCTCTCGAAGGAAGTGAGAGATGCTATAAGGCACAAAACTGGATCTCATACTCGAGCAGAGGAGTCTTCCCACGCATATTGCCTTCTGCTCTGATGACAATTTCTCAACGCAAAATGTTCTTCGCGGCAAAGGAATACAAAGGATGCCGAGACAGCACTCGAACCGCAGAATAGTTCATTGGCAGCTGATTGGCATCTGAAGATTGGAAACACGCTCGACACGCAGAAAAGAAAAACTTGAAAATACTTAAGATGGAAGAAGGAATGGAAGCATCAATG